AAAATACTCACAAGAGACATGCTCAGGAAATACTTTGTGGTTTTTGCTCTGTGTGATTTTATTATAATTGAGTTCACATCCATTATGGCTGATATTTGAAAGTTGGCAAAATTCTGACATTTCAGACAAAAAGTTGTTGCCTGGTATCATTCTGAGAAAAACATGAACAAACAAAACCACAAACCATATTGTAGGATGTTTTAGAAATGACAGGAGTTAGGTGAGTTTGTTCCAGTGAGTTCACATTTTAATTAGTTTTCTTTTTATGGTTAATTAAAATAACCTAGCTTTATGTACCTTATTGCCCCTTTACCTTTTTTTGTGTATACTATTACTGACAAATACTATTATTTGGACAGTGAACAGATAATTTTTGAATACCTAGCAGTGATATCATAGACATATTTCCTGCCTGGATTTAGCCAGAATATAAATGTTTAACAAATACTCATCTATATATATATATATATATATATATATATATACACACACACACATATATATATACATACATACACACACACACACACACACACACACACACACACACACATATATATATATATATATATATATATATATATATATATAAAAGCCCAAGTGATCATCTGACCGGTAGCTGTAATGCACACTGACCATCAGAGGTTAGACGCTCAATGCAGGAGGGGGAACCACAGGCATGGAAACGTGGAACAGACTGATGAATCTCAGAGGGAGAGGGCGAGGGAAGAGATTAACCAAAGACCTTATATGCATACCATTGGTCCGGTGTGAACTAAACTTTTCTCTACATTTAATATTTATATACCTATAAATTATATATATATATATACATATATACATATATACATATATATATATATATATATATATATATATAGACATACACAAAGTATACCTTTAGTATATATTACTTTTTGGAATGTGTGCAAACTAAATTATGCCTACATTGGGCCATATAATTAGAAGTTTATTTAATTTTAAACACACTGTTGCTATGCATTAGATTAAATTTTAAATGCAGATGATTCACATACCTAAGTTATGGATTCTGCTTTTAAACTGTACACTAATTCTTTGCAAAGACAAAAATGAACAACATTTTTTATAAGAGCTATGACAGAGGTCAGCGTGGGGTATTATGGGAGGGCTGTGTTTAAGGAAAGCTGCTGGAAGCAGGGAAGACTTGAGCAGCGTCCTGGAAGGTGACTCGGCATTGCTGGGCAGAGAAAATGGAGAAAGGGCTCTTAGCACCATGCTGGATCTCTTCTCACCGTTTCCGATGCCAGTCAGAAGCCAGGTCAGCTGAAGCCGGTTTGGCTCAGTGGTAAGAGTGTTGGTCTGTGGACTGAAAGGTCCCAGGTTCGATTCCGGTCAGGGGCATGTACACTGGTTGCAGGCACATCCCCGGTGGGGGGGTGTGTGGGAGGCAGCTGGTCGATGTTTCTCCTTCATCGACGTTTCTAGCTCTCTATCTCTCTCCTTTCCTCTCTGTAAAAAAAAAAAAAATCAAAAAAAAAAAAAATATATATATATATATATATATATATATATATATATATATATATATATATATATATATATTTAAAAACAACAACAACAACAAACAGAAGCCAGGTCAGATGGTGTTGGGTAGAAGAATGAACAGGAAGTGAGAAGACAGGCAACGCCTAGGGCAGGGGTCTGAGTTGGATGGTCTTAGTGCCCTCTGTGCCTCGCACAGTCTCTGGCACTAGTGTTTGTGGCATTGGTTTGGGACCGAAGAGATGAGATGGATTTGTGAGGAGGGGCTGCGTCCAGATGGCTGTGTTCCTCTGCATGCTGAGGAGAGCCTGCAGCCAGCAGCCGCCCCTCGTTACCTTGTGTCTTCATGGCTGTGCAAGGACGTCAAGTGCACCCTCAGCGCCCATCTGCTAGCCTATTAGGCTTTATTCTAGTCTGTTTTCAGTCGGGTGTCTGATGCTTGTATCTGAACATGATTAAAATGTTTTCAAGCCGAAACCGGTTTGGCTCAATGGATAGAGCGTCAGCTTGGGGACTGAAAGGTCCCGGGTTCGATTCCGGTCAAGGGCGTGTACCTTGGTTGCAGGCATATCCCCCAGTGGGGGGTGTGCAGGAGGCAGCTGATCGATGACTCTCTCTCATTGATGTTTCTAACTCTCTATCCCTCTCTCTTCCTCTCTGTAAAAAATCAATAAAATATATTTAAAAAAAAAAATGTTTTCAAGATGGTTCCAGAAGTGACATCACCATGGCCGCTCCAAGAAAACCCAAGTTCAGTTCAAACTTGCTTTGGCCGGTGACGGTGGGGCTGGGGGAATGACCTGCGTGGCACGTCACCTGACTGTGAGTTAGAGAAGAGGTGAGCCGCCCCGGGTATGGAGGTGCAGTCCCTGTGATCCACACGGCACAGGGCCTGTTGGTTCAGCATGTGGAACACGGCCGGGCAGGAGAAGCATCCGAGCCCAGCGTGCCTTAATGTTTGCTGTCACTTCCACCTACTAAGGAGAGCGTGCCTACCTGGCACCGCGATCTGGTGCGAGCATCCCCCGTGTTGTGTGGCAACAAAGGGGACATCAAGGAAAGTTAAGGCAAACCCAGTCGTCTTCCACCGAAAGGAGAATCTTCAGCGCTATGGCATGTCTGCCAAAAGTAACCACAACTTCCAAACGCCCTTCCTCCGGCTCCCTGGAAAACGAATCGGAGACCTGATGTGGAGTGCGTCGCCATGCCTGCTCCTGCCCCCCAGGGGTTGCCCGGGACCCCGCGCTGGCAGCACAGCGGGAGCACGATCTAGAGTAGGGGTGTCGAACTCAATCAGAGAAGGGGCCAAAATCTAAAATCCAGCCTAAATCGCGGGCCGAATGGTTTACTGAACAGTCATAAACTGTCATTGTGATGGAAACGCAGCGGAGTGCAGTGATGACAGCGCGGTGCGGGCCACATTGCAAGGCCTGGCGGGACGGATTTGGCCCGCAGGCCTTGTGTTTGACACATGTGATCTAGAGGCTGCTCAGGCCCCAGACCAGACGGGGCGAAGAGGACCGACCCCCTGAGAAAGGGGAGCTGGGCCCAGCATCAGAAGTCCAGCTTTATAGGCAGCCGTCCTGAGCTGGGCGTGGTGCCGGTGTTGGCCGCTTTGTCAGACCGCTAAGCGGGACCTGTGCTTGGTCTTTGGGCTCCAGAGTGAATGTGGCCGTTGAAAAATGTCTTCAGTGTTTGGACCCGTATGTTTAAGCTATATCGGAACGCAGTAGTTTCCTTATAAGAACGCTCCAGTCGCATCACAGTACTCGGTGGTAAAGCAAATCCTCATCTCATTATTTTCACTTAAAAAAATTATTGGCTCCTCTTGGGCATGAAGTATTTGGATTAATTTTAGATTTAAAAAATAGTCACGGATTTTGACTGGAGTTAGACTGAATTTATAGAGAACTGACACTTCAGGAGGATTGACATGTTTCCACGATTGAATGTATTTGTATCTTTTATGTCCTTTGGTACAAATCTTGCCCATTCCCTCCTAAGTTTATTTTTAGATATTTTATAGATTTTGTTGCCATCATGAATGGATCCCCCTCCCCTTACATTTTCTAATTGGTTATTGCTGGTACAGTTTTTAAGAAGTTTTTAATTTAATCTTATAATCACCTACTTCTTATTAGTTATTAATGATGCTTTTACAGTCCATTCTCTTGGCTTTTCTAGGTAGACAGTTATATAACCTGCCAGTGATAACTTTTTATCACTTCATTTATAATATTTGTACATAATTCCTTCTTTGTATGTTATCTCCTGGCTAAGATATCTGAGCGTGGGTGAGGAGGGGTGGTCCTGGGAATTCTTCTTGACTGACGTTACATTTAAGGGGAGCATCAAAGAATGTGCGACAGGTGAAGCAGGGTGGTGGAGGGTGTATTCCAGACAGGCCCAGGGGAGAAGAACAGTATGACAGTCTAGTCACATGAGCTGGAAAAGCAAGAAAAGGTTGCCTGGTGGTAGAAAGGGAAGTGGGAGAGATTCAGAGTCAGAGGAACTTAACCCACCATGGTTGAAGGGGATCACATGGAAAACATGAGAAGGGCCCTCATTGCTTTGGCTCAGTGTATAGAGCGTTGGCCTCCCGACTGAAAGGTCCCGGGTTCGATTCCCGTCGAGGGCATGTACCTTGGTTGCGGGCACATCCCCAATAGGAGGTGTGCAGGAGGCAGCTGATCAATGTTTCTATCTATCTATCCTCCCTTCCTCTCTGTAAAAAATCAATAAAATATATTAAAAAAAGAAAAAAGAAAACATGAGAAGGACAGAGACTGTCTTACCGCCAGCAAGGAAACGGGGACCTCGGCCCTTCTGCTACAAGGAACTGAATTTGGCAACAGCCTGGATGAACCTGGGAGCAGTTTCATCTCTCCTCATCAGAATGTCCTGCTGTCTATTTGGTTTTGGCCTGTGAGACCCAGCTACAAAACTCAGAGGAAATAAATTTATGTTCTTTTAAGCTGCTAAATGTGTGGTACTTTGTTACAGCAGCAGCAGAAAACTAATACTCAGGGGTTTAGGTAGGGAAGTCATGTCAGATTTGGTGTTACTAACAGACTACCGCTGTGCTATGTGGAAAACAGATTTGGGAGAATGCAAATTTGGAGGCAGGGAAACTTGTCTTTGGGAAATAGTGGTCGCAAGGATGGAGGGTCCTGATGGTGGGGAGGCGTCACGATTTGATAGTTGGGAGGTTGGAATGACCAGAACTTGGTCATTGGTTGGATGCCAGGAACGAGGGAGAGACAGGACACAGGTGACTGCTTGAGTGACTGGCGAAGCTGTTCTGGACACGGGTGAGCAGATGGGAATCTGCCGTGTCCTGAACTTACCGGTAATTCCAGGTTCTTCGTTTGAAAATTCTTCTATAAATACTTACTTCAAGGGAGAGTCTATCAGTAAGAGGATGGCCGCCTCTTTTAAGACCTAAGTTGGTTTTGTTCTGTGGTTTTGTTTTTCAGGTCATGTAGCAAATTGTAAATCATGTGAAGATGGGACTCCTGGTGTTCGTGCGCAACCTGCTGCTAGCCCTCTGCCTCTTTCTGGTCCTGGGATTTCTGTATTATTCTGCATGGAAGCTGCATTTGCTCCAGTGGGAGGACTCCAGTAAGTATGGCCACCCTCGCCCGTCCCCGGAAAAGCCTGCTGCAGGCCAGCGATGGGGTTTTCATGGAGCTGCTATGCTCTCAGATTCTCCAGAGATGGGCGGTGAGAGTCAGCTGACCATTTCTGGGATCTAGGCTTAGAAGTTGACTATTTTTGTTACTGTAAGTTAAGAACTTACAGAAAACAAACAAAAACAACAACTGCATGCCATGGCAAATTCTTATATGAACCCAGTGAGAAAGTGCTATTTTTTTTTAATATATATATTTTTATTAAATTATTATCTGTGTACATATTTTACCATTGCCCCCCCTCCCATACATACCCTCCCTCCCCAGAGTTTTGTGTCCATTGGTTGTACTTATATGCATGTAGACAAGTCCTTCGGTTGATCTCTTATCTCCCCCAGGTCTCCCTCCCCTCCCCGCTGTAATTTGACAGTCTGCTTGTTGCTTTACTGGCTATTTTTTTTCAATAAAAACTAAAACTGCACTGGTACTTCTAGTCCTCCAATGCTTTTTGTTCTTAATTACTGTCGTGCATTGCTGCTCCCATTTGCCATTTATTGCCTCAGGGCTTGGTAGTGAAGTTGGTTTTCTTTTGCCTTTAACACTCCATCTTCATCTTTTCCTTGAATTTTTTTCAATTTAATAATGTCTGTGTTTTATTTTTCCCGAAGAGATTCTGTCTACTCGGTCTTTGTAGCCTTTGCTGGCCCCGAACTTTCCAGCCAACGACTCCTAATCTCTTCCTTCCATTTGGACTCAGGCCTCATGCGTCAGCCAGCGTGTTCTGTGAACCTGCCCGCCCCCTTCGGACTGGCTTTCACCTCCCCCGGTGCTGCCTGGGCTGTGGCTGAAGGCTTGCAGTGAAGGCCTGTACTGAGCAGCACCAGCTTTGCACATTCTCTTTTTGACACGAGTAGTTTTCCTTTTGGTTCTTTGGTCTGAAGGCTTGTTGCAGGAAATACCAGGTAGTCTGTTCTGATTCCTGGTGAATGTCTCTTCTCTAAAGTAGTTTTATTTCCCCAAACAGCTACCCAGTAAAGGTGTAGAATTCACAAGAGTAGAGTTGGTCTCTCAGTGGGAGGTGAAAATGCTAGAATGAGTTGGAAGAGGCACCTGACAGTTGGCCTCTTGTTGAGACCTTAACATGGACGTAGCTCACTCATTTCTCACATGGCCCAAACGACTGAGGCAGTGGCAAGCCAGTTTTTAAAATACAGTGTCATATCTTTAATTTGGTGTGTTATATGGAATGTTTAAGTGCCTCTTTAAAAAAAAAAAAAAAAAAATATATATATATATATATATATATATATATATATATATATATATATATATATTTTATTGATTTTTTCACAGAGGAAGGGAGAGGGATAGAGAGCTAGAAACATAGAGGGAGATACATCGACCAGTTGCCTCCTGCACACCCCCCCACCGGGGATGTGCCCGCAACCAATGTACATGACTGGAATCGAACCTGGGACCTTTGAGTCCGCAGACCGACGCTCTATCCACTGAACCAAACCAGTTTCGGCTTTAAGTGCCTCTTAATTGCTTTGTTTATAATTACCAGCAATTACTTTGTGTTTCCGGAGTTTACTTAAATTTGTATCCCAATTTATTTTTTAAAATCAAGGAGATTACCCAAAATAAGGAGTGTTTATATCAGTGCAGTGCAGAAGTCTGTGGTTTAGAGGCATTGTCTGTAGCCATAATGGGTAAATTAATCTGTATCCATAAAATAGATGGAAACATGTGCAAGGGATGGGGTCCCCATTTCCGATAAGAGCTACTGACCTGTAGAAGACATATCAAGGATTAGATAATATTTTACTAGAGAAGATACTAACTTTATGGGAGACCTATTGTTTGTCATACATTTAATTTACTTCTTACTATAACCATATGAATATGCTGTTATTATCTCTATTTTCCAGTTGAGCAACGGAAGTATTTATTTAATGAAGTTTCATTAGTTTATCTAAGTTACACAGTTAATGGCTTTTGGAATTTGTCAAATGCTTTTTCTGCATCTATTTTTAGAATCATATGTTTTCATCCTTTTAATTTGCTTATGTGGTGTATAACATTAATTGATTTGTGGATATTGAACCAATCTTGCATCCAGGAAAAAGCTTCACTTGATTATGGTATATAATTTTTTTAATGTATTGCTGAATTAAGTTTGCTGATATTTTGTTGAGGAGTTTTTGCATCTATGTTCATCAGGGATATTGGCCTATAAGTTGCTTTTTTTTTTGTAGTGTCTTTGTCTTTGTTATCAGGGTAATGCTGGCCTCATAAAATGATTTTTGGTAGCCTTTTCTCCTCTTTAATATTTTGGAATAGTTTGAGGAAAGGTTTTTTTGTTTTTTGTGTGTGTGTATTGTTTTTTTTTAGAGATGGTAGGAGGGAGGAAGGAAGAAGAGAAAGAGAGAGGGGGAGAGATCGATTGGTTGCTTCCCACACATGCCCCAACTGGGGGTAGGGGTGAGCCTGCAACCAAGGTATATGCCCTTGACCAGGAATTGAACCCAGGACCCTTCAGTCCACGGGCCAATACTTAACCACTGAGCAAAAATGACCAGAGTGAGAAGGATAGGTGTTAATTTTTCATTGAACGCTTGATAAAATTGCTTACCTTTTCAAATAACTGGTTCTTTGTTTCATTGATCTTTTCTATTGTATTTAAGTCTCTCTTTTGTTTTTCTCCCACTATGATTTTTATTATTTCCTTCCACTTACTTGGGGTTTTGTTTTTCTTTTTACTGTAGTTCCTTTATATGTAAGGTGAGATTTAATTTTTTTAGATTTTTCCTGTTTCTCAAGGTGGTAGGTCTGTATTGCTATGAATTTCTCTCTTAGAACTGCTTTGGTTGTGTCCCATAGATTTTTGAGATCATGTTTTCAGTTTCGTTTGTCTCAGGTACGTTTTCCTCTTTGATCTCATTTTTAATCTTGTTTAGTAGCTTGTTATTTAGCCTCCATGTGTTTTTCAGTTTTTTTCTTATGGTTGATTTCTAGTATATCATTGTGATCAAAGAGGATACTTGATATATTTTAGTCTTTTTAAATGTATTAAGACTTGTTTGGCAGCCAGACATGTGGTCTGTCCTGGAAAATGTTTCTGTGCACTTGAAAAGAAGGTTTACTAGCATTCGATTGCTTTTGGGTGAGATGCTCTGGAAGTATCTACGAAGCCCATTTGGTCTAATGTGTCCTTTAAGATTGCTTTTTCCTTGATTTTCTCCTGGATGATCTATCCATTGATATCAGTGGGGTGTTACTGTCAATCTCTCTCTTTGTTTGTCAATGTTTACTTTACATATTTAACTGTTCCTACATTGAGTGCATAGTCAAAACAAATGTTTTACAACAGATTGAATTAGAAACTGATGAAAATCCAAATTCCTTTTATTAACTTGTAAATTAAAGAGATTTGCAGAAATGTAAAACTACTTATTTTCTACTTTTTCTGTTTTAGAAAAGTTATTTTTTCTATTGTGAATTTTAAGTGAATTCATACTTTTAAAAATGTTTAAAAAAAATATATATATATATTATTGACTTTTTACAGAGAGGAAGGGAGAGGGATAGAGAGCTAGAAACATCGATGAGAGAGGAACATCAATCAGCTGCCTCCTGCACACCCCCACCAGGGATGTGCCCACAACCAATATACATTCCCTTGACTGGAATCGAACCTGGGACCCTTCAGTCTACAGGCCAACGCTCTATCCACTGAGCCAAACCGATTTTGGCTAAAATGTTTTAATATAATAAATATTAATATAATCATTCACCCACATACACAAACACTCTTGGAGTTCTTAGTAAGTTTTAAGAGTGTGAAAGAGTCTGATATAAAAAATTTAAGAACCATTGTATTCTTGAGTCTTCAGAAAAGGGGAGTTCAGAGATTGGGGGACTTTCAGAAGTGAGAGTGTTTAGGGATTGGTTGACCATTAGCTGTGGATTCCCAATTACATGAATAAGGTTGTTGTTGAATAGGCAAGGATCAAGAGTTTTGTTTGGGGCTTTGAATGTTTTAAATTTTTATCACTGTTCTGAATACATATAGCTGGCGGCTGTTCTTTTTTAAAATTTTTTTATTTTATTTATTTTATTTTTAAAAAATATATTTTATTGATTTTTTACATAGAGGAAGGGAGAGAGATAGAGAGCTAGAAACGTCGATGAGAGAGAAACATCGACCAGCTGCCTCCTGCACACCGCCCACCGGGGATGTGCCCGCAACCAATGTACATGCCCTTGACCGGAATCGAACCTGGGACCTTTCAGTCCACAGACCGACGCTCTATCACTGAGCCAAACCGGTTTCGGCTGTTATTCTTTATCATCATTGCAGAATACTGACTTTTTTTCTCCGAGCTCCAGTATTTTTATTCTTATTATGAACTTTTTTATTATCAGCAATAGTTGGCACAGAAAAGTGGAAAAATCAGATTTTTACGTTATTAAATTTACTCCGTTTCGAGCCATTCACAGTTGCCTCCTGCTGTTTTGGTCTGACTGCCAAGTGCCTTTATATGGTATTTTAGCTTTTTACTGGAGCGTTGCTATGTAGCAGCCTCCTGTAGCCGCTAGAGGGCAGGAGAACCTTTGGATTGCCACGGGGGGACAGGCTGTGCTGCGTTCCTTCCTTCTGGCAAAGTCGTGTATGGGATTGTTCTTTAACTCATTCATTAAGCCATGTGCACCTATATCTGTCAGCGGTGGAAGCAATAGAGAGGTGAAGGAGAGAGCATAGATTTGGAGTTACATACAGGGCGTCCCAAAAAAATGTATGCACACTTTTAACAGCTGATAGCTCCATTTTGAAAACGATACGTATTTTAATAAACACTGCCTTTTATAATTATTCAAAGTGTTTGTACACTTTTTGGGGGGACACCCTAATCTTGCCTTTTGCTCTCCCCTCCCCTCTTGCAAATTACTTAGTGAACTAGTTATAGAACTTGAACTCTCTCAGAG